ATTGTTTTTTACCTATATGGGATGCTGCAGAACTATTTTCAGGTAGATCAGTTAAAAACCAATGCGCACACTCACAAAATGCTGTATGTGAAACGTTGAAAAATCATGTTTTGAGAAAATCAACATTTTTAATTTAAATACTGTAAATTAGCTTAAAAGCAATAATTTATGATAAAACTTATAAAAGTTGATATAATAATGCATTACACGAAGTTTCAGTGTAAAAACCACCAGTTTTTTTTTTAATTTTTATCTTTTTTATGTGAAAATTTTTCGAAACAATTTTTACTTTCCAATATTTTAATAACTAGAGTAGATTTTTGAACTGTATTTTATACTAAGGTATTAATTTTATTCACCAAGTAATATACTTTACTAAACAATTTTTAAAAAATTTTACATTTAAAAATTTTCTTTAAACGACAATTACCTTGAAAACTTTGTCAAATTAAAATTTTTGTCAAAAAAAATTTTATCTTTCAATATTTTAAATAACTAGACTTTTTTTGTACTGCATTTTTACTAAAGGAATTAGTTTTACTGACAAAATAGTACAATAACTAGAAAGAACTAAATTTTCACAAAAAAAGCAATAAAAATTTATACACTAAAAAAGTATGCATTTATATAATTACATGCCTTTACGAAAACTATTGTCTAGTGCTTTGATAATTTTAAAATTTATTTATAAGAATAAATGAAATATAAATAATGAAGCACTTTTTAAATAAAAAAATCTGTATTCTTGTAAATCTGTATATTTTCTGTATTTTGCACTTGCAGTGATGTTGATTGACATTCTTTGCAAGGAACAGTACTCAGTAAGGCATTCAAACATGACAAATCAACAATCTTATAGTTAGGAGTAACTGTCTTCGTAGAGGTCATTTTATTAGAAAGAATCTCTTCATCAAAATCAGAAATGACAGAAACATTTGAATTCGTTTCATCAGCCAAAGGTGCTTCTTTTTTTTTTCAAATTGCTGAGTAAAGTCCTCTTCCGTTTAGAAGAATAACCTTTTGGTTTGCGCCAACGAGAGCTTATGCTGTGCATTTTTTGCACAAAAATAGCAAATAAAAATGTAAATAAAAAACTTAAATAGTAATAAAAATAATTAACAGAAACAAATATTTAACGATAACAAAAATTTAACGACAATTAAATTAATATAGCAACAAATAATAGTGAAAATCGTAAGATACTAATCGCTGGTTACCGCTCGCAAAAATAGCTTGTAAACAAACAATCTATCAATTCCAGAACACAGTTATAGTTATTAATTGATGTTGTCAACAGTTTTAATTCAAAATTGGCATTTTACAAAAATTAGCATAACTTCGCTAATTTATCACCGATTGACAAAATTTTTTTACCAAAATTTTCAGAAAAATATTTAACATTGAAATATTAAAAAAATGAAAAATCGAATTTTTCACTCATATTTGCATTTTTGATAGCCCTGTGTTACCTTAAACGAGGAACAGTATTCATTACTAGGTAGAAACAGTTTATACACATTTTTGGTTCTTTAATAGTTATAAAATTCAAATAAAATTCAAGCAAATTTAGAAGAATGAATAAATTTATATTTGCATTAAATTTAAGCTCATCTAAAATTGATCGTGGTTTTGGACAGCTTATCCATTTCTGTCTTTAGATTCTACAGATTCAGAGTTTACTTCTGTCAGATTGTACAAAATAAACCTGCAAGAAGATTTGAAATATTGTTTTACATTTTCATACTTAAATTAAATCACATTAAGCGGTTCAGAGTTTAAATTTTGTAAACATACTCCCATTAACTTTTTTACTACAGAACCTAATTATTTCAACAATTTAATACAAGAATTTTAAGGAAAATATAAATAACCTTGATAGACCCAAAAGTCGCATGAAAGATCGAATATTAAGTAGATTTCTTATTATAAATGTAAACAAAGCTGAAAACTGAGACTGACTGAGTTTGCTCGTAAGTTTTGTCTTCACTTAACTGCAACACAGAAAGGTAAGCAATAGAAAACATTTTGTTTTCACTCAACTACAAACTTTACTCTATAGTTTCAAACAAAAATTATTCCTGTTATTTATATTGGGGGACAAAGTTGTGTGGATAACTTTGAGCAACCATACCATTTAGGATCTTAAAATATGTATTTCACTTGAACCGAAATGATTTTTCGATTTGGAACTTTGTTTTAAATTTTCTCATTATGGGTAAAAATCTAATGATGGTGTCGCAGTTTTCCATTGTTGCCCGAGCATTTTTATTGGACAGAAAATCACGTGGTAAGATCCAGTTTTCTGACATTAATTTTCTTATTGGTTTGATTTTCATCAGCATACAATTGATATATATCATAAAGTTATTATTTTCCTCTAATATTTTTGTTTCCCTAATTTAAAGGCCAACATTACCTGTACTGTTATTATTACGTTTTTGACATTGTTCGTTGTCTAGATTCATCATCTATTTTTGGAGCAAAAAGCTAACATAAGCACAATACTAACATAACGTTAACTTGCGAACTTGTTTGCTCCAATATTACTTGATAGGTCAGCTCTGATAGTATAGGAGCCTTAGTTGTCTAAAGAAAGAGTTTAAGAGGATTGTTTTTATTATTATTATTATAGTTATAATAAAGTAATTCTACGTTGCATTTTAAGATGAAGTTATTTAAATCGGAGTCTGATCTTATTAACTTTTTTAAAATTATTAATCTTTTGTGCAAATTACATTGATATACTATTATGAATCACAGTAAAAGAAACTCGTTGTTGTTGCTCTTTCTCATCCCCATGACCAGCAGAGCTAGATCAGGTCCATGAGCTCGTTCACTCTGAGAAAGTCTAGCACCAACAGGAGAGCTTGAACCAGGTCCTGCCTGGTAAGTCCCAGACAAAATAAAATGTGGTAAAGAAATTCGTAAATGATTTTAGAACTTAACTTTCAGCTTCATGCACAAAGTGATGAATGCAAAAATTGTATTTAAAATATACATCCGTTTGTTTGGTAAACAAAAATATTAAATTACAGTTGTGAATTCAGCGAATTTGTTATAACAATATACTTCTTATTTTAAATGTTCAAAAAATAATAATTTCGAAAAATGCTTTGTGTTTACTTAGAGATCTCTATACCAATCATTAGGGAGGAAAATATTTAGTAGTGGGAAGTGGCGGGACAAGTTTTCTTCTTATTTCATACATTTTTAGTTGAATAATTTCAACTGTTTCATGCTAAGAAACATTGGGAAGCAATCATAGGGGTTGGTGAGCGTCAGCGAGCAGGGGGCTTAGCCCTCTAGTAATAAATAAAACTTAATCGTAATATTGAAACCATTGCGACTAATACTTCTGTATATTTTTTCCACCCATCGCAAATTCAATAAAAGCAGGCACAAGCTGTCAAATACTATTTTTACGAAACATTGAAATTCACCACACGCTATCAATTTTCTCTTTTTTCTTCAGGTATTTAAACTCTAAAATTTAAGCATTATAAGAGGTAAAAACAAGTTTGAAAACAGGGAGGGAGAAGCAATTTTGCAAGCACTATTTACTGTTTGCTTTATTTAAAAAAGTTTAATTATTACACATTAATTATCGCATATTTAATTATTACACGTTTACATTGATAAACTGCAAGTTAATTCATTAATTAAAATATTACTTAGTTTATTGCTGAGTGAGTTGTTTTAAAATATAATTGAACCTAAACGCACTCATTTTTTTGCTACATTTTTTCCAACTCATTTTTATATGAAAGGAAATCTATATCCAAGAAAACATTTCGGTGCAGAGAAAGGCTCTTCCATGTAGTTGATCAAAACTTTTGGAGTGCTCATTGCTTGAAATAATTGGTATATTTGTCAAAAATGTTTTGTTAATGTGTATCTATGCCTGAAAATTATCAAATGTAATAAAATAAAAATAATTTTATTCATATTACAAAAAATGTATATATAATTCTATTGTGTAATTTTCGTTTAACCATAGAGTCAGTTATCAATGTTTTTTCTAGGAACACAAGTTTTTTTCTAATAAATTAAAACAAAAAATGAAGAATGCGATAGCCATTCATTAAAACTTATCAGATATATTATTGCTTTCAAATCTTTTTAGACACTTTTATGTAATCCTTTATTTAATATAATGTTTACTAAAAGCCTTCACATATATTTTACCGTAATGTTAAAAAGAAAATCTTGGTAGGCATTAAATCTTGCTCTTGATAACTAATTTTGTAATGATCCAAGATTATTATTTTTGGTAACAACAAAAAAACTATCTTCAAAATGAAATATTTATTGCAACAAAGACCTTTATTTTCAAATTTTGAATCGAAATACTTTTTCTACAACTTTTCTTTTTCAGATTAGTTTGATGACATAGAACAGAAATCTGCGAAAAGGCACAGCATATTTCATTTTTCTAATGTAAACCAATTTAGTAAAAATACAATTTCTTAACACAACTGATCCAAAACATACAAAAGTAAGGGAAAAAAACACTAAAATCTTATCATTGCAATATAGCTTTTTTTTATTGGATCTCTTTGTATTTCGAGTAAAATTAAACCTGAAAAAAAACTTTTGAAAAATGCATCCAAATCAAATGAAAAAAAAACTTAATATTTTATAAATCATTTTAAAATAATATTTTCCTGTGCAAATACATAACCGCATGAAAATACTTCTTTTCTTTTACAAACATTTGATAGTCTGAGAAATATTATACAGAAAAAAACACCACAATATTATGCTCATAAAAAATGGTTTCTTATCAAGCTGATTAACAGCAAGTTGCTTACACATGCAACGTAATTTAACGCATATTTAAATCTGAAAAACTCATAAAATGCATTTAAAACAAAAAAGGTCGTAAAATGAATTCAAAACTTAAAATTCATTCATATGCAAAAAAAACTAAAACAAATTCATAAAATGTATTTACTAAAATAATTTGTAAAATATATTTAAAACAAGATAATACATGCACTTTTATAAAATAATTCAGCATTTTTTTTTATTTTGCTGCAGACTAATAAACGCGATATAGTGAAGTCTTATATATTTCAAGCATGTCAGAAAAATATAATATTGACAAAAAACTCAAAAGCAAAATGTTTTATCATGCAGCCGTTGTTGTTCTAGTGAGGCAATAACGTTTTCACTATTTTCCATTTTGACACATATTTAAAATTGAAAAATATTTGATGAAACACCCCCAGGTGGCTGACGAACTCGAATACTTGGACGAGCTAAGCCCAGGCCAATTGTGCTCACTGAACGTTTCATCTTGTTAGAGCAATCCTGAAGCTTAGGGCGCACTCCCTTCAATTTTCTAACTTCTCCAGTTATAGGGTTGTGGTGAACAAAATTCTGAGATTTTGTCTCCTCGTCCTCCAATGATATTTCCGCGAATTCTTCGTTCACACTTTCATCTGGCTTATTTTCATTAGACTCAACATCATGCAGATTGTGTTCAGCCAAATCATCGTCTGGATGGGTGACAACTATAATGTTCTCTTGATCTAACTCCGATACTTTGGGAGAGTTTATTCGGCAACTGTTTCGCTCACTCGCTTTCATTTTTTCGATGACAACAGTTTTCTCAGAATCGGTGAGATTTTCCTTATCTAAAATAAAGCAAATCGAATTAAACTATTCCTATGTTGATAGTATTACAAAATTATAATTCTGTAAAACAATATCTTAAATTAACCCAAAAAAGGCTTTATTTTGTAAAAGTCTAAAGCAGAAATGTTATCAACAGGAGTTGAAAATGTTCAAAAAATAATAAAATAGTGGAAGTAGCCTATACATTCTTATTCCCAGGACATAAAAGCAAGGGAAGTAACCAATGATCGGGAAAGGGAAGACTTGCAATTAACATAATGGGTCGTAACAGAAACGAAGTCTCTTATAGAGGAAAATGGTGCTTAAGTATTATCACTTCGATCAGTTTCGCCAACACTGCACCTAAGTCATTTTGGTATGTTCCAAATTCATTTTCACATAGCAATTTATCATAAAATAAGTAGACAAAACACAAATATATAACTTAGTGCATGCAAAAAAATTAGAAAAATATTTAAATTTAAACGACAGGCAAATTTATTTTCAGATTTGGTGAAAATGGTCGACGAGATAATGCGTATGTACCAGGAAAATATTCTTTAAAGTACTTCTTCGTCGATAGCGTTTGCTTGAAGCTCTCCGCCAAATAAAATGCACTAAAAATACTAAAACAGAAAATACATGCATCAAAATAAAAACATAATGGTACTTTGGGAATGTCCTGTCGACCATTTTCGCCGAACCCGATATTATCGCCAAAAGATAGCGCCTGCACCAATAACCACAAATTTTATCACTCTGTTTTATCATTTTTTATTTCTTTTTATCAAATTTTATCATTTTTTTAAAATTTTGTTTTGATTCCTTTTATTACGTATTTTTACACTTACTTTCTTTTGTTATTATTATTATTATATGATAAATTTAATGAATGTTAATTTTAGAAATTGCTTTTCATTATGATGACGCCAAAGGATTTGTGCATTTTCGCGAGACTGGTCGACGGGATAATACCAAAGTACCAACTTAACATAAAACCTAGTTAAAACACGGCCAGATATATTGAAAAATACTCAGGTTCGTGAAAATCAGAGGTGGGCAAACTTTTTTGGTCGAGGGCAAAAAATCGAGAGAAAAAAGTTTGGTGGGCCAAGTAAAAATTTCTAAAATAAAAATAAACGATATACAAGTTTTAATTTAAATATTTAATGAGATGAATGAAATTGCGATTTCATTTTTAAAAGTTCCTTATATTGAGGTTCGAAGTGAGATGTATTTAGTTTAAGGTACAAGGCCAAATGTTTGTCTGTTAGTCTAGATATGATATTTTCTAAGGTTCGTAGTTGAAGACACTTGTTCACATATATAAGATGAAGCAAACATAGCTCTGACTTTCTGGTCATGAAATATTAAGTTTGGGAAACTAGCTTTTGGTAATGATTTGTACAACTCATACTTTGGCATACTTAAAAACAACTGCTTCAGATGGCGTTTTACGGCTATTCTGTAAAGAACTTCTGCTTTCAACATTTTACCAATTGAATCTGTCTAACTATTTTCATCAATTTATGTTTTGTAGAACAAAAATAGAGAAAATAAAAGGTCATCAGTACTTTGCTAAAAAGGAAATAACAAAAATAGCTTTAAACAAAGTAGACAAGAAAATGGATGTATATTGTTTATATTTGCCACGAATTGGCAAGTTAAAATTCTATCCGCGGGCCGGATAAAATCTTCTGACGGGCCACAGTTAGCCCGCGGGCCGTAGTTTGCCCATCCCTGGTGTAAATAATACAACGTCGCCAATACCGTGACCCACTTGGCGACAATTCAATGAGCACTTAGAAATATAGACTGCCTCTTTTTTAGATGACGGGAAATAATAATTAAATTTTACTTGCCAAATTTGCGTCAGAACTTGAACTAAATATACTATTTCAATACTTTATCTGAACTATCTTTCGTACAGCCTTCCTTAATTTTAATATTTTGTCATTTGCTTATCACTTATAGAAAAAGTTTTATATCAAGCTTAGTCATTATAGAATACTGAATGAGTGATTTAAATACTTAGAAATTAGAAACTGTAGAAAACAATGTTTTTGAAAAGTATCCACTTTCAATGAACTAGTAATATTTTAGATTGAAGATAAGAAAACATCGAAAACTAATATTTAAATCTCTTTCAGTTGAGTTATTAAAGTTTGAACAAAGAATATGAAATATTTTTCAATGAATATGGAACATATATAAGCAAAATGTAATTTAAGTGGATGAAAGTGCATTTAAACTTGATTCAAGATTTAGAAAAATCAGCTTACTTTGATTCCTTGTACTTATTAAAGTACCCAAGTTAAATATATCACTAGTATCACCACCTGGAGGTTTGCGGATTCTCACAAAATTGGTATTATACTCCGTATTTTTTGACGATGAGTTATGCATTTTGTTTTCAAAAGCCACTGAAAACTTTATCTACGTTTTTACTCTAAAGAAATCTTTTCGACGGAATAATATTAAAATTAGTGTAATATTTATTTTATCTTTTTATTACTATTCTTTAGCGAGAGCGCGTGAAACTAAAAATTGATATGAAAGAAAACTAGCTCTTCATAAAAAAAATTTCCAGCTACAAATCATAGTGATTTTTTTTTTGAAGTGAGAAGCCACCAAAAACAATAACTTCAACGACAATTGGAGAGAAAAAGTTAAGAAAGATACAAACGAAAAAAAAGGTGCTTTTTTATTTTTATTTATTTATTTTTTACAGTTTCTACAATACTAATTGATAAACATCATCTTTAACAAGATAATGGACAGTTCAAAACTTTAATTTTGAACAGGTTTATAGTTATTTCTTTCCATAGACATTTAGTATTAAGATTTTTCGAGCATAGATACATTCTTTCAAAATTTTTTGTTACATATATATCAATGAATTTCATGCATCCCGTATGATATCCATTAATAAAAATCCACTACATCAGTGCATTAATGGATTTTTGAGTACACTCATTAATTTCATGCATGTTTACAAAACATTTCTGACAAATATATGAATGAATTAGCCGACCAGGTAGCCGAGTGGTTAGCGTGCCTGACTGCAGAGCTGGTGGTTGCGGGTTCGAATCCCGCTCAGGGCATGGATGTTTCTTTATCTCTCTGTGTTCTATGTCCTTTCTTCTGTGTGTTTGTGTGAGTGTAACCCACCCTATAAACGGGTTTGTGGTTGTATTACGTGTGCGACACTACCCCACCGCCGTGGCTTAGTCAGAGGTGCTCACTGGGTAACGATAAGAGAGTAGCAATTCTGGCATTTCTGAGGCCAATGGGAAATAGACCCAAGTGCCAGCCATTAACCAAAAAAAAATATGAATGAATTTCATGCGTCACGTACGAAGTTTATTACTAAATATTGATTTTCATACGAATGAATTAACGAATTTATGCGCAGTTACAAAATATTTTTCAAATATATGTTAAAGAATCAAATGAGTATATGACTTTATGTGTCAAATGAGAGGTGAAACGGTGGAGTTACTTCCTTCAGCTTTATGTATGACAACTTTTTTTTTCCAAAATTTGTTGATCTGTTAAATATTTATGATACGTTAAATATGTTAAATATATATTCAACCTTTAATTAATCTAGATCCTTGGGAAAATTATATTATATCGCTTTTAACGCTTTTATACTGCGGAGTGTATAACAAACGATTTAAAATATCATTTAAAGAATGGAAAGAGATTGAATGGAAAATTTTACAACATTTTGTTTAGGAAACTAGTTAAAAGTTCAAAATATGTTAATAATTTCATTTACAGATGGCGCTGTTAACTTGAAAAAAAACTATGTCTTTTGCTTCATGCCAGACCACTTCAACTGAAATACTTCTGTAAGATATTATGTACTCATGCACACCGTATTTCTTGTAAAATAATTTACTTATTCTATGTCAGTTAGTAGATGCCAACGAGTATAATTTTGCGGTTGCCATGGTGATAGTTTTGGAATATGAATAGTTTTTGAGTGAGAGTAAGATCTTCTGTTAGAATGGCAATACTGTTATTTTGTTGTTGAGTTAATAAATCTTCCCTTTTATTAAACGTAACAGTAGAGTTTTCTTAATTATTTGAGTTTTATTTGAGATCTTTTTCAATTTTGTATTTTTTTGACAAGTTCTATTTGTATCTGTAAATTTATTTCTCAAACTTCAAAGCTCTCGGCTCTTGCAAAGAGTGTTTATTTTCTAAGCAGTATTTAAGTTTTGTTTTACTCAGAATTTTGTAAATAACTCTGAATTTTGACGAGAATAAGTTAGAGGGCTTTGTAAGAAGAATGCTGCAAATTCTACCTTTCATCTTCTTTGACTTTTTTTTAAATCAAGTAAAGTAATTTTTTTTTAATTTTCAGACAAGTCAATACCACAACAGTGCACTGTGGACAATATCAGTGTGGTAAATATCACTAAAAGTACACTACGGACAACAAAAACTTGAATTTCTTTTATCTAATATGATCGGATTTTTATGTGCAAGCTAACTAAATAGTGCTTTTAACTGTAGAAAGATGGAACATTGTTATTTACCTAGAAAGAGGCCATCCTGGTCTTTCCCCGATTGTCTGTGTACAGATCAATAATTCTCCCAAAATCTTGAAATATAATCTTAATTCATATAATAAAACTTAAAAATTCAATGATATTATATTTGATTTAGTTACTGGAAATATTTGATGACACGGAACACTGGTTTTTCAGTTAAGATTATACATTAGTTTCCTTCATAATTGAGTTTTCTGTTATTTATAAATGATAATTATAAATACTTTGAAATACTTTAATTTTTTGAATGTAACTGGGGAATCTTATGTATAGTGAAGGTTACTTTTTACCCAAAACTACCTGGGTTTGTGGTATACACACCCAAATACCTAAGGAGCCACTCTGATTCCCCCCGTCATTCTATGTAGGTATAAAGTTCTATACATTTGTTTCTATAAGAATTAACACATAAACATATAGAATTAACACATAGAAATAACCTACTCTCTCTCTCCCTCTCTTTCAGTAAACATAACATTTGTTTCCACGGATTCGGGTTTTAACCTTTAAAATAACGAAGGAGTACGTACCGGCAAAGAGAAACGAAAAATTTTTTCAACGTCTGTTCTATACATTTTTTCCTTGTTAGATAAATGTGGGTTATTAGTTTACTGAAAAACCTTTGTTCTTCGTATTTTATTATCAAAAAAGTGAGAAATTTTTAAATTATTCGAAAGAAAATTTCAATCTTTTTATCGAGAAGGTATCAGTCCCTTTAATATATTTTACGTGGCATTTAAATGGCAGAAGGTAACACACCAACTTCATCACCTTTGTCTCCTTATAACAAAAACCTCCCCATAAAGCCAGAATTCGGACTCTATTTTTCTCTTTGTGAGGCATAGTTTAGGGGAAGTGTTAGTTGGAATAGTTGCAACGCCGAAGGAACTGAGACTGTTATTTATGGTATGCGATAAAAAGCCCCTTCTTCTCATCACCTGTAGTAATCCTCTGGGAAAATAACCCGGAAAAACAGGAGAGGTCATAAAGTTTGGATAATATTTCCCTCCAAGAACAATGAATCTACAAATCGATTTTTCTTTAGGCACTTTTCTATTTGTTAGGTGGAATCGGAGCTTTTAAGAAGGATGCAACATTTGAAGAATCGAAACGTTTTTTCGAAGAAGTTATCCCTTTTTATTTTAATTTTTCAAAACTATATGTTTTTTAACTTTTTTATTTATTATTTTTTTTTAATTTCATTTTCTTCAGTCTTTTTTGAATATTATAATATTGTACAGATGTGGTGCAAGCTTTTTGGGCTCAATAAATGTTTAAGCAAATGAGAATAAAGAAAAAACAACGCAGTGTTATCCAAATAAAGATAGCGAATACTTAACGCTGTTTTTAGAAAGCTATGTCGCCAAGGAAAATATAAAAAAAAATTATTTTAAGTGCTTTACACTTGAAACAACGCGATGATTTTAAACTATATATACTGGGTAGTTCCGATTCAATGGTACAAACTTCAAGGGTAGATACTGGATATTGCAACAATCATTTACTGCAAAGGAATGTATGGGTGCAAGTGACGCACAAAAAATAAGAGACGAAAGGAAAGACAAAGTGCTTACTGAAAGCGTCGTTGACACAAGTGTAATGCTTACAATAACTGTTCAAAATTGTGCCCTCCAACAGTGATAAATGCTTGACAGCGTCGGTGGAGCGATTGGTATGCACGTTCGAAAATGCCAGGTATTTTGCGCACACGTGCAGCAGCTTCGAATATTCGTGCAACGAGGTCCTCATCTGGGTGAAGTAAAGTCGCATAAACAAGATTCTTCAGATACTTGTGAATTCGGGTCCCCATAAAAAGAAATCGAAGCTCGGGAGATCGGGGTGGCCAAGGGATTGGTCCACCATGTCCAATCCATCGTGCCTCACACGCGTCATTAAGTAAGTGCGCACATCAGTGCTGAAGTTGGCTGGCACCCCATCTTGCTGAAATCACATGCGGTTACAAATGGTGATCGGAACATCCCACAGTAGTTCTGGTAGCGCATGTTCCAGAAAAATACTATAACATTCGCAATTAAGTCACGTTGGTAGTCAGTATGGGCTAATCAAAATGTCGTTGACTATACCAGCCCACACATTCACACAAAATCGTTGTTGATGCTCATGTGGTCAAGGATTCTCGGTTGCCTAACACACTGGAAATTTGCTCATTAAAGATGCACTCGTGGGCAAACGCCGTCTCATCTGTAAATAGCTCATAAGCACAATGTTATGTCATTTAATTTTGCAAAAAAAAGCTTTTTGACGGAAGTTTCTTTAAAAAAAATTTAGTCTTAATGAAAAATCATTATTTATAAACTAAAAAAAAGTAAGATGAAAAATGCTTACGATAAAAAAAAAACAATCCTAAGATTCCTCATATTCAAATAAAAAATTTCTATGTTGTTTTTTTAGTCTTAAAGTTCTAAATCAGAAGTAGAATATCATTCTGTAGTTAACTATCATCAAATTATGAAAAAAAAAATTTATAAGTACATTTTTTATTATAAACATTATAACACTTACCTGCTTTATAAATCCGGAGAATTTCAAAATGAAATGTTCCTCGTTTGAAAATTTTATTCTCACGTAGATTATCCTTTCATTACTTTAAGATGACATACCAAACAATACAATTTTATAATTGTAAGATCTCGTTATGAATTTTAATATGTAACTTATAAACAGAATAGCTAAATTCTTATTGAAATTAATTATTCAAAATTAAAAAAAATACTTACCAAGAAAATGATAAAAATTTCTTAATAATCAACACAAATGATACTATTTCAAGTAATTCGGATGATTTTTTATTAGTGTTTTCCGAATTATATAGATATAGACATGTATACTATTCAATAAAAAAAAGAATATTCTATGACTATTACAGTTCTGCACTTGTGAAATCACCTTTACTCATTGGAAAGCAGTAAGCAATGTGAACTTGAGTAACTTCCCT